TATATACACACACACACACACACACACACACAAACACAAGCCATTTGTCATCCAGACTGGACTCTACTCCGAGAGGCCTTCACCTATCAGCACTATTTGTCGCCGTGTCACAGACTAAGGATAAATCTTCTCCCAAGGATCCCTGTTTAAATCCGCCTCCCATTACCAAAGGTGTGCCCCTGTCACCATCACACAGGCTCAATACGCACCCGCACCTCTGACCCTTTCGGTTGTTTCTAATTAACCCCTCACCCACTGTATGTAACTTCTATTCCCTAATGGCAATAAATGAGCCCTCCGACAGTCCCATTAGCAGGAACAGCCGCGGTGGCCAATTGGAGAGGACACTGACCAAATGCTGGTCTGAAAATTAGCTTTCAATGAGAGCATTGTTATGTTTTATTTCCACAAAATGCTATTTTTTCTTTCTCCTTCATTATAATAACAGTTCACTTATTATACTTACAGCCGCTGTCATCTTAAGTGGAAAGCAGCTCATTTAGAGGTAATTATGTGAGCTGGGCTCAAGTCGTCTGTCGTCAGCTCCAACTTAATAAAGTTATGTTTTAAATCTTATACATCCCATATTTCTGCCAATTCCAGACAATCCGTTAAAAGAGGGGTAAAAACATATTTTAAAAACACAAGTTAAAGCTTTTTCAAACAGAGAGAAGCAAAGATGTTTAGAGGATACACTAGTGGTTATCAGTTATAGGGATATTTTCTCGTCTTTACTCCATTCAAATCCACAATTCCATTATATTATATACATTTTATAATCTATTCAATATCATTAAGACCAGCTCCAAGTATAATATTAGTAAAAATAAAAAAAAACTATCTAAATACAACATCAATATTGTTCTAGTTAAAATATGTTAAAACTTCTTTTCAATACATTTCCAGATATTTTTTTCCAGATATTTTTAATTCCTGTATTTTTTTTACCATATCATGCATTGTCCTAAGTGTGCCCATATTGTGGTGTTATGGTTTAACAACCTAACATTTAAATCCCTTTTTAGCTGAAATCATTTCCACGTTGCATTCCCCTTAAACAAAGGATATCTTCTTTCTAAAGTGGTTACCCAAAGCTGAAACAGCTATAGAAGCTTCATGTTTTAGGGTTCATTATTTCCAGCTTTTACACAAAACAACAAAGAGCAAAACAAGCCAGGAATATGGGAACATGTTCAGATATTTGGCAGTCCTCCAGAGTGGCAAAATAAAACAACAGAGGCTATTTAGGCAAATGAACAATAAGACATGAATCATCCTTTGTGGCCCATTCAGCAGAGCTGGAAATGAATCCACAAGAAAAATTGGTTCATATCCAGATGTGCAGGGTGTGGAGGTAGACAGGGGCTGAAGAAACAATCCTGATGAATAAATCCCTCCTAATGCATCTCAACAAAAGACACTCTATTTAGGGATATTGTTTACACTGTCAAAACACTGCTTTTGTTTTTCAGCTAAGAGAAGATGAAGCTACTCCAACATTTAAACCAGGAAAAAGCACACATGCAAAGAGCACAATTGCTATATTACTGACAGCCATGTCTGTCTTGTTATTTGTTTTTTTTTTCCAGATTTATCATTCGCATAGTCATTTTAACGTGTGTTACTAACAGTAGATGGATCTAAAAAGGATTAAACTCATAATTCCTGATTTTCCAGGGGTGGAAAACACATGAAAGCTCTTGATTTCTTGTATTTCTGGTTATTTACTGACATCTAGAGGCATTTTGAGGGATAACAGATTTTAATACGAAAATCATAACGGTTTTATTTTGCATATCTTTAAGGGGATTGTTAATCCTGATTAAGTAAGAAAAGTTTTTTCCTGTCAATTTCTTTTTAAGACTCTTTTATACAACCATTTATAATTTACGTTTAATCATTTAGGCAGAAAGAAACGGTTCAGGCTATGTTGGATATTGACTAAAAACACATTAAGGTTACACTAACACTCTTTCTCCTATTTCTGCACATAATTATATTCATAAAGTTTCATTTTTTGCACTTTATAATGAAATTCTGCTAGTTACTCAGAAGGATAACTGAAATGATCTGTATCATGATGGGCTATAAGAGACACAGAGGAAATCTCTCCATTATCTTCCAGTTTACAAATGAAAAAGTGAGAGAAGCCAACTAATACCCACAATTAACATAGATTGTTAGTTACAGTTAAGATGAGAATGCATGTTTCCATCTTTCTACTTCTAGTCAGTTGTCCACCATCAAATTAGTAATGCAACACACAAATGAATCCCCTTCCCTGAGGGAGAGAAATCAGTTGTACATAATTAACAGAGGTGAGGTTAAAACTGACACCAGCTTTTATCTTAATTACATGAAAAAACGTGTAACTTAATTTTATTGCATGAGTACATCTCAGTTTAGTCACACACGCCACTGTTCTAATAAATGATCACAACATCCTGACAGACAATTATTTCATTTGGGTAATTTGCGGTTTTAACAACCATGTGATGATGTGTATTTAATAAATGTAAAATATTCCGATGCACTTGTGAGTTTTAAACATTTAAAACCTCACGGGCCACTCTTAGAGGATAACTAATACTGAACACTGAGTGATAACTCATTGAAGCCTGCAGCTTGACGGTTAAGCTAACACACTCTCAGCTAATTTGCATGTCAATTATCATCATGTCAATGACCATAAGTAATCACATTTAATCACAAGTAGATATTATCCGCATATAATGCAGTCAGCATCAACAACGGTACAAAATCAAAGCTGAATAAGCCTTAATACTAACATAAAAAGAACCCAATTAGCCTGAGAGAACATTTAGCATAGAGCAAACAGGTGTGGTTGGACTCACCTTTTCGTGTAAAAGTTCATTCCTTCGTCTTCCCTTTTGTGTAAAGGCTTGTAAGACACGGTGCATCCCCTCCGGCTTGTTGTGTTGAAGTTTACTTGCTGTCAGAACTTTTCAAATCCTTTTAAAAAACTATTTTTTAAGAAGAGGAGACTTTTTAAAAATGGCGTCAAATGAGCAACGTCAGGGTAAAAAGCTAGCACCCTCGTCCCACAGCCTAAATTAATACTTTTTTTAATAAGGGCTGACATGCCTGACTAAGGGTGGAATAAAAATTCAAGTTGTAACCTAATATTTATTTTCATAATAAAAAATATTATCTTTTTCAAACAAAAAAATCTGACTTTGTAGAGACGGGTCGTCTTCTGTTTGACACCAATTTAAGGATGCAGTACTGTTTTTCACCACACTCATTGGTTCACGTTAAATTCGTATCATAAAGCATGGGGGCGCTGTTTCTCCAAGGTCACGAGTACGTTCTCTTTTATCAGCATAAAATGTTTTATGAACTATTTGGGTTGCTAAAAGAAAATACATATTCTTTCAAAATGAATAAACCAAGTTAATTATTTCCAGAGCATCTTTATGCTGATTTTAGAGACCATTGTGGTTTGGTCACCTTGTGAAAAGGTTTTGCAGCGCCCCTCTGGCTTATAATGATACATTGATGTGATCCTATTGTGTGGTAAAAAGTGGAATTACACTCTTAAATTAGATTAGAACTAATTTGTTCTTTCAGCTTGACAACACAAACGTAAAATTAGCAGACTTTATCCGTGTGGGTTTTATCACCCTAGTTATATTAAACATTTTAGTAGTTTTAATACGTCAATTCTAAGCGTAATATTATCATTTTGAGGCTCCATGACCACCCGGGTTGTGTTGCCAAGCCGACCGAGCTGACAGCCAATCACTATGCACTTCGAATTTTCTCGCACGCGGCAATTTTCATGTTTGATAACAGAAAACCTGGAGCGGTTTCAAGTCGTCCTTTCGCTTTCCAGCTCCGATTAACGTAAGAATCTAACGTGTTTCCACCGTGGTGCTGCGTTTGTCGCCTGCTTTACCGCCTTATAGCTGCCTTTGGCTTCACTTGAGCTAGTGCAATTTGATGTCTAACTATTAAACTGATCGCAAGGGCAACCGTTTTCTAACGTCCGGCACGCGGGTGGGTTGTTATTGACAACGCGCGCGTGGACGCTGACAGAGGCTAAACGGTCATTTTTTTTCTTAACAATTAATAAAGGTTTATGTTCTAAAAAACACGCAGTTTAAAGCCTTATTTTTGCAGTTTGCAAGCCGTTTTTATGCTCTTATCTGCCGTTTATTGTACATTTACTAACATTTGCTATGTTACGAAAGGTTGCCATCTTATTTAATATTACACCACAGACATTGTGTTACTAAAGGAAGACGTATGTGTTAAGAGGCTAACGGGGTGGGGGGATTTGGCAGCATTAACCTGGCTGCCCCCGTAAGCTAAAGGGTGGTCTGGTATAAAGATGAGGTGGTCTATATTTAGACCCAGTCGGCAGTAGGCTTTAAGGGGCTAATCTGAGATGGGTGTGGACAGAGGTTTGGAAACCTGACTCAGGTCATGTGTTTTTCTCATTTTAAAGGGGTTATCTTATATCTTATTGCTCTATTACAGAGGTAACACCTACAGACACTTGTTGTGATCATTAGCCGGGATGTAACTCAGTGTAAAGGCTGTAGATTAAGGATGAGGATGCTCTTGTTTTTGTGTGCTTCAGGTTTTAGGATGCTGCAGGTGCACCTGATGAGGGGTGCAGTGTTGCATGCTGGGAGCAGGTCCTCCTGCAGCGTGGAGCGGTTCTTCTGCTCAGGACCCCACCTCAGCTCATCTGCACGCCACGGAAACGACGCCCCATCGAGCACGGAGGCTGACCGACCAAAAATCCTCATCACTGGTTGGTTTTACGTCTGTTCCATAATTGTTCTTAGTCTTTGTAAGAAACATTCATAATGAGGCTAAGTCTCCATTTTAAACTCCTTTTTTTCTGACTGCAGGAGGCCTCGGGCAGCTTGGAGTTGGGCTCGCCACATTGTTAAGGTTAGCACTTTGCATTATTAAAGTATAATAATATGTCACTTTGTGGCCAAAAAATGCCTTACAAGAGATTATTGATGTGTTATTAAATTATTCATAATATAATTTGATTATGTTTCGTCCTGTTTTACCTCCTTGATTGCATTTCTTTACAGCGATAGAGTTTCTGCTTCCCCCTCAGGAGACAATTTGGAAAAGACAACGTGATCCTGTCTGACATCAGGAAACCCCCCAGCCATGTCTGTGAAAATGGTTTGAACATTTTTTATTGATCTGCTCTTTAAATGTCATGTTAAGTTCACTTTTTTACAGCCCAAAGAAGAAGAAGTTGTTTTGGTGTAATAAATTTAAGGCCAAATTGGCGTAATTTTTCTCATTCAGCCTTGTAGAATTAGTTATGAATTATTTTTTTAGATGGGGGGCAATATGGTGTTAATAATGAGAATAAATGTGATCTGGACTGTTCTGCTTCATAGCTTGATACCTTAACATTTATTTGTTATGAGAAGGACTGGAAACTTTCTTTGGGACAATAAAGGTGTAAAACTTTCCTGTTTGGCCTTTGTTTAAAAAGTGGTTGAATGCTGTGAATGCAAAAGGAGTCACATTTAAACAAATATGGAATCATTTGATAAGATAAACTTTGGCACTGGCGGAGAATCTCACCACTAAACAATTATTTTGACCTCAGCTGGACTAATAGACTTAAGAACTCTTTTGTCCCCAACGCCATCAGACTGTACAACGCCTCACTGGGGGCGAGGGGGTGACACAGGACAGGGGGAAGAGATGTTAGATACACACAACTCCTATTATTATATACACTGTATTTAATCTGTATTTTTTTTTTTTTTATTAATATTTTTTGCTTAATTTAATTTTAACTTAATAACTTAATACTTTTTGCCCTTTAAGCTGCTGATAACCTTAATTTCCAGAGGGAGTATTCCCAAGGGATCAATAAAGTACTGTCTAAGTCTTGTCTAAGTCTAGCTTAGCGACAAGAAAAACAATAAATGTCTTAACCTGTCCTGACAGGTCCGTTCATCTTCTCGGACGTCCTGGACGATAAGAGCCTGAGAGCGACGGTGGTCAATAACAACATCAGCTGGCTGGTGCACTTCTCCACTGTGGGGGAGCATAACCCCGCTCTGGCCAAAGAGGTCAACATCACAGGTGAAAGGAGAAGCTAGTGGGTTTGTCTATTGTTTTTTTCTTTTTTTCCTTTTGTTGTTTCTTGTGTTTAATGTGGACAATTTACCAAAATAAAGTGAAAGTGAAGTGAAGTGAAGAAGTGAAGCTAGTTATGGCTAACCTGAAGGGCTTCCAGTGACTGATGCTCAGCTCCTCTCTCCTCTCAGGGCTCCATAACGTGTTAGACGTAGCCACCGAACAGGGTCTGCGTGTGTTTGTCCCCAGCACCGCGGGGGCCTTCGGCCCGCCCCCCCCCACGGGCCCCGCCCCCCAGCTGTGTGTGCAGAGGCCTAACACCATCTGTGGAGTCTCCAAAGTCCACGCCGAGCTGCTGGGCGAGGTAAGAAAGGCCGGTTGGTTGGACCTAGGGTTGTCCATCCATCCATCCATCCATTATCAATTACGCTTATTCCCTGATGGGGTCACGGGGGGAACTGGAGCCTATCCCAGTGCCTAGGGTTGTCACGATACTAACATTTTCAACTGGATACCGACACTCAGGAAAATACTCGATACTCGATACCATTTTCGATACCACAAGGATAAAAACAAAGACCCCAAAATGTAACAGAATTGTGTCTTTCATTTCAAACTCACCTGTTACTGATGTTATCGTGACTGGTGGCCCACATTAATGACCCTAAACCTAAACCTAATCCTCCAGCCTTCATAATTGTGAGAAATAAATATTTTTTGGTCAAACTTGTTTGGACTTATTGTACAAACCGATTTAATATACACTATTTTAACATAATATGTATAAAGTTTAATTAAGTGTTTGAAAGATTAATTTAACTATTTTTAAATTAATGTCTATATTGCCATGAAGCAAGTACGATTTTCTTGCATGGGATTTTCCAATTGGTGACCTAATCAAAATGGCCGACTTGGATGTGGGCGGAGTTGGATATGTACTTGATTAATGGTAGCATGTTATTATTAGCCATTATCCGCAGCTAGCAAGGCTAACGTCTTGTTAATGATCATAAACAACGTAAATAAATACAGAAATAAATCAGAGAGAAGGGGCGCGCGGTGGTATCGATACTTTTGAAAATGAGTATCGTATCCGGATACAACATTTTAGTATCGATACTTTTTCGAGTATCGATACTTTTGACAACCCTAGTTAGAAACTGCCTGGAGTCCCCCCCCAGTGCCTCCTCTGAGGGTCCCATTTCGTCCCCCAGTACTACCACCACCGGTTTGGGCTGGACTTCCGCTGCCTCCGGTATCCCGCCGTAATCTCACCCGATGGAGGAGGAACCGCGGGAGAACCGGGAGGCCGGACAAACGTCCATTTCACCGCCTACGCCGCCCAGATCTTCCACGCCGCGGTGAAAACGGCGCGTTTCGAGTGCCGCCTGCGCAGAGACACGCAACTGCCCATGATCTACATAGGTGAGCCGGCCGGATCTCGTTCCAAGATGGTGGAAAGACCTACCAAGCGCCACAAGAATAGCAGGTCCCTGTCTGTGTTCAAGAAACTTTTGAAGACACCCCTCTTCAAAGAGCATCTCCTATCCTAACCCTAACCCGTACCTCTACCCCCCACAGCTCCTAT